GAAATATTCTCTGTGACCCGCCCGCCAAGTTTCTGATCCGTATAGAAGAACTGACTGACTTTACGTTTGTATTGAAAATCCGACTGAATTTTGTTGTTGATGCTGGCTGAGTGACGAAGATTTCCAGATTGATTTCAGGTTGATGAATGTGTTTCTCGCCTTCCCAATTCTCGCTCAATTTGACATCCCCGTCTGTTCCGACTTCCTGTAGTTGGGACAATTCTCTCTAGATAAGTGACTGAAGTAACTAAGCTCTTTCAAATCCCTCCCGTTGATGGTGATTGGGAATGGATGTTGGTGCTGTTGTTGTTGTTGTTGTTGTTGCTGGTTGGTTGGTTGGTTATTTTCATAACCTCCGTCTTGTCTATGTTCCCCTGGAATTCTGTCTTCGCCGGCTGCTTCTTCGACCAGTTTGCCGGTTTTTGCTTGTAAGTCTTCGAATTTGTGTGACATCAAACATAAATCATCCACGCGCGAAATCCAGGTCTTCTAGGTTCTTCACGTCGGTCCAGGATATCCCTGTCTTTTCGTTTCCCACTCACTGTCTGACGCATAATCCAGTCCACCACAATTAGGAATATCATTGGTGATAATAAGCACCATTGTCTGACTTATGTGTTTACTCCAAACGCCTCGCCTAGACTACTAGCTTGCTAGTTTTCTAGCCGGTCCCAAGCCCGGATAAAGAGGGAGGTTTGGGGCGTGTTGCTAGCACCTCCACCGCCAAAACCTAACCAAAGTGCTACAGAAACTTCAAGCACAAATATATTATATATATATATATATATATATATATATATATATATATATATATATAATCTACTTTATTCCAAAAAACAGTACTTATAATACAGAATGGAATTCTCAGCATTTGTCACAATATTGCATCTGATTTACGTAGAATATAAATAAAATATATATCTTGCGGATTCATTTGTACACCAAGCTTCCAGTAACTGGTGGATGGTGGCTAGCAGTGGAATCCAGAATGCGCATTTCGTCCTATTTGGGACTCGTCATCTGGATGTACCTGCTTTTCTCGGTCCAATCAATCGACGGGAAAATCAAAAATTCAATTCAATAATTAATATGACCCGTTGCACAAGAGGTGGCTCTCGTGGCCCAGGTGGTCTAGTGGATAACGCTTTGGCGTTTGAAACTATGGTCACTGGGTTCGAGCCTCAGTGGGAACATCATCACTCACTGAGAAAAGCAGGTACATCCAGCTGACGAGTCCCAAATAGGACGAAATGCGCATCCTGGATTCCACTGCTAGCCACCACCCACCAATTGTATACTAATCAAATGCCCAGACATCGTCGAAGCATCTGCACAAGAAGCCGACATGTCAACCTGAGACCGAGCACTTCGGTCCAATCAATCGACGGGAAAATCAAAAAAAACTTCCAGTAACTTCCTGGAATTTCAGTGTTTTGTTTATTTAGGATTCTAACATTTACCCTAGTCACATTGGTATCTTTTTTCCCTGTGGATTGATCGAGTAGTTATTATGCCTTTTGGCTGCTTGATTGTGCCGGTGAAGGCGAAAAAGACCTTCACTTTGACTAGTATAATGTGTTTCACAGCTGATGTAATTTATCTTACAGGTGATGTTGGTTTTGCATCCTTTTTGACGTTGCATATTTTGGCTGACTTAGTGTATATTGAAGAGGCTTTCAAGTTTGAGGATGACATTTATTCTAGTAGGTTTCTTTGTTATGGAAGTGATTACAGAAATGTTCTTCATAGATGGTAGGCTGACTACTTTTTTGGTTTCAGATGATTTTATGTTTCTAGGTTGACTTGAGGGTAGGTATCTTCTGATGAAGTAGCAAAGAGACCCATTTATCCAGAAGACAGTTCGCCTTTCAACCTTCTTGCTCTAAGAGAAATGCTGCCACATATCTTGGTTGTAGGGAACAATGTTTGTACACAGATTCTTTCGCGTACTTCTAGATTTTTCCTGTTGCAGTTGAGTATCTGATTTTTTGCATGAATGTGCTTCCAATATTCTTTTACCTGTTTCATTGGTCAAGACCCGACCGACAACTGCTGCCTTGTCGTGGTAGTCGGGCTTGAATACCGCAGTGACGCAACAAGCTAAACTGGCTGGGACTCATGGCTCTTCAGATCCTACCATGCCAGGAAGGTTGTTTGGATAGCGGTTAGACTAAAAGCAGTTATCATGGGGTACATGGGCTCCAGTATCCAATCGGATCGAATGGCGTATGAACCCATATGGGTCACCGGGAACCATGGGAATTCAGCTCCTGACGCTGCTCCGCTGCCTTGCGGATTAGACTCCAAGTCAAAGGCTCGGGGGGTGGTCCCTAAGAAAAACCACCTGCTTCGGTCTGGGCTCCCGGGCAGTATCTCAGCCCTTACACAAAAAAATGAAATTTAGTGTGGCGCATCTTTCTTGGTGCCATACTGTACCAAGTTTTTTCTGCGTTTAAATAAATAATTGATCAAGACATTCATATATGGAATTAATTTGTCTAATTTTTCTCTTGAAGTAAATTGTCAAAAACACGATTAAGAAAGTTGTGAGTGTTCCATAAATCATTTCTAGAAATTATAGTGGATGTGTTATCAAAGTACAGCATCTGAATTATCAGCTTGTTTGGTTATAACATTATGATTTCTAGCTTTTGAGAAAGAGCACTAGTAATCAGTCCTGATGTGAGTGATTCCACTGGTATCCCTTTTGTCTGTTCATATTTCTGTCGAGCACCCGCCGACGCGCACCTGATATCTATGGTCGGCCTGCGAAATTTGGGCCACCGATATCCATGCTGAAAATTCCATACTTGTACCAAAAATACAGTGTGGAATCAAGCTGAAAATCATAAATAAATAAAAATAAATAAATATATATGTTAGTTTCCCGTAGGGTTCCTTGGATGAATTGAATGTTAAGGCTCTTTGTCATTTTGGTATTGCAAGCTATACGGTAAACTCTAATTTCCTTTGACAATGATGGTTTTCTACTGAATGAAGCAAACAAAGTTGAATCTTGAGATGCACTTATGACAAGACATTTTACAAAACAAAATGATGGTAACAGGCAGTATAAAGCACGAAATTATATCGATCACTGATAAGTTAGACAACACGTTTGGAAGCTTTTTGACAAAAAGTGATGTGTTAGTTTTCAATTACTGAAATATAGCATGATACATAATGTCTTAGACCTATGATTGTTTTCTACAATATTGAATCTCGTGGGATGGCGTCGATAACTGCTTCATATATTCACAATTAATCAATTTTAGATGTTTCGCCATCCGAGAATAAATTCACATGGTAAGTTGTAAGTATTAATTATCTTTTAAATAGCTCGACTTTGATTCTAACTGATGAGGGTTACGATTTGAAGACTAGATAGATGCATTCCGCCTACCGAACCTTTATATTCTCAAGCATAAAACTAGTAAAAAAATTATATTTGTAAAATCTCAGCGATATTGAAATGAGTAATTCCAACGTTTCCAGAGTTCGGCTATCTGGTCCGAACTTCTTCAAGGAAATTAATCGAAATTAACATAACAGAGGTTTATATATAAAAGGAACATCTCTTATTTTTAAAAACTTTGTCCAATCATGAGTCATAAAACAAGTATCAACAAGTATAATAAACAAAATTGTATTAGTTGTGATCAAAATTTGACCTCAGACTTACAAATATTGATCTACCTTTGTTAAACACTTTAAACACAGTGTGTATGTGTGTGTGTGTGTGGCGGGTAAACAGTTGTAAAACAATGTCTTAACGTCTCCATAAGTAGATATAGACAGTCAGGAAACTTTGACCAAGTATTATTAGTTAGTAATGCATATCCATTCTTATTTATTAATCAGGATTTCCTATGCGTCAGCTAACATCACACCTTCATGTCTGTTCAAACTGTTAGTATCTAGAATTGTATGATTAAACGTATTTTCAAAATTATTGTGTTTAGGATTAGAGTTTAGTTGAAGCACCGTGTCAAACTTATTACTTTGTCTTCTTTCTGAAAATTGAGCTGCTTCGCTCGACCTACTGGAGTTGTCAGGTGACTGGACAGCTACGAATTTAGGATACGCATTCTGTTGCAGACAACAGAGAGTGGAAACACGATGATTGTGCCAATTACATAGTTTCTTTGCTAATTTAATTCGACTGCAAAATAAATCGACTGTTTGCTGGTAAAATGACGATGTCCTTCCTTCCTAGGAAGGACATCCTAGGAGGGAAATCAACTGTTTATCCGCACACATACACAATGTGTTTAAAGTGTTTAACAAAGGTAGATCAATATTTGTAAGTCTGAGGTCAAATTTTGATCACAACTCATACAATTTTGTTTATTATACTTGTTGATACTTGTTTTATGACTCATGATTGGACAAAGTTTTTAAAAATAAGAAATGTTCCTTTTATATATAAACCTCTGTTATGTTAATTTCGATTAATTTCCTTGAAGAAGTTCGGACCAGATAGCCGAACTCTGGAAACGTTGGAATTACTCATTTCAATACCGCTGAGATTTTACAAATATATTTTCTACTTCTCACTCGTTGCCCAAATATTTTAGAACTATTCTGTCAAATCTTGACTACAGTTCATTTGATAAAACTAGTAACAATAATTTTAAGAGGTTAACTAAGGGGTTTACTTTTCTTTTTTGATTATAGCTTGACTCCACACAGTATTTTTGGTACAAGTATAGAATTTTCAGCATGTGATATCGGTAGCCCAATTTTTCAGGCCGACCATTAAGAGTGGGTTTGGGTCGGCATGGGATCGAAGCCCGGACCATGTGCATGCTAGGCGAAAGTCCTAACCTCTGTGCCACCGACGCACTTTTGATAAACTTCATATTTGTTTAGTTGTTAATATTATCATCACGACATGTCGTTTAGTTTTTCACGTTATTGCAATCATATGATTCAGTTATTCTAAAATATTTTCAAAAAATTAGTTCTTTTTCATGTATGAGAGATAAAAACTAGAGTGTGATAGGTTCTTTCTTGACGATATTATTACTATCTAAAGTCCCAACAAGCGATAAGTCGTACCATGAAAATGAACTATGAGCTTTATGAAACAACATAATAAGTTTATTCAATTTTTAACCAACTGGTTATAAATTACTTTGGCGTATTCAGAATTTCGAGTGAATTAATCGTAATTTATGCAGAACAGTGACAAGCTAAGCATCAGAAGCAGATGATTCTGTTGAAAATCTTCATTTCACTCCTACCTTTCTTAGTTAATAGTAAGAACATTACAAGGTTGTTTTGGCGTTCTGTACTAACCTGAATACTATAAATAGAATTCGGTTGTATCCATCACGTCATAACCTATCCGCCTATAATTCACTTGACCATTGGTGGAATTTGTCAATCAAAAGTTTAACAGATAAATGGTCAAGAAGATTAAATTCTTCAGAGAGAATAATCCCTGAGACTTTAGAGAATTATCAAAATGTAAGCGCATATTTGCTGGTTGTTTTGTTTTCACTTTTACGCTTATTGTCTACCTCCTAAGTATGATTTTCATCTTAAATATGTCATTTCAGATTGAATATTATGGAGAGATTTCTATTGGGACACCACCGCAAGAATTTCATGTGATATTCGATACAGGATCATCATATTTGTGGATTCCTTCGTCGAAATGTAAAGATTCTAACACAGCTTGTCAAGTTCATCACAAGTATGACAGTTCACTATCTTCGACTTACAAAGAGAATGGGGAGGAGTTTTCAGTTGAGTATGGTACTGGAAGAGCATCAGGATTTTTGAGTTCTGATGTTATTCATGTAAGGAAACATAATGTTATCTTGATATCCGCAATTCAATTATTTACTTTTATTCAGATAGGTGAGTTAGATGTTGTGGATCAGACATTTGGTGAGGTAACTGATGAACCTGGTTCAGTCTTTGTACCATTTCATTTTGATGGCATAATGGGTATGTCTTTTGAGATAACCTCAAAAAATTCTGCTGTAAAACCTGTATTTCTTAACATGATTGACCAGAACTTGGTAGATGAGGCCATATTTTCTATTTATCTCAGTAGGTAAGTCTGACTAATTTAGAAAGTTTGATTTATAACCGCTAGTACCTCCCTTCATTACATCATCACTATTGTTACCTGATTAGTATTTAGTTGTCACGTTTAGGAAACAGGTTTTATTCATTTTAAAACTTGCTGAATAGATCTCCATATATTCTAAGTTAGAAAAAATAGTAAGTGTACTTTACTGAATCATCACAAACTAAAGTGAAATATCTACCGATTGCTTATTGGTTATATGAGGGCATAGCCGGTTAGCTTAAACACTTGACATTTAATCGGTAGATCGTGGTTATTCATGATGTTCCACCAACTTTAAAATGATCAACTCAGAAGTAGAATACGCTATCTCATATCAAGTATGGCTTATACCCAAGTAAATTTAGAAAATCAGTTCTAAATAATTCAAGTGCAGTTACTATCTCCCATGATATTTATTGCGTTCTTGATAATGAAGTTTAATTAATCTAGTTAGGTGTAGAAATCAAATATAAGAAAACAACTCGGTCAGTGAATGAATCCATTTTCTATACTGAAACGTTTATTGATAATGATATATTCCAGACATTTCAAGATGACGATAGGTGCAACACTTGAAGTACTGAAAACTTTACCAACTGTATTACTTGAAAATTTCAAGTATAGTCTCGAGTTAATACACTGGAGAAACTTATTATCTATGATTATCTTCGTTTTATGATTGATTCGTAGTATTGTGTTGTCAAAAAAGTCATTTAAGTATATTTTCTAAAGATTATGACCAAAATTAAAACCAAATTATAATGCATTTTCAAGTATTTGTTTTGTAGGGATTTTGTTTGATTGGTTGAAGGATTTCATTATTAACTGACATCAATTATAGAATTACTGGAAAACCTTTGGGGTACTGGACAGCTGTTTCGTCCTAGTTCGGGACCCTTCATCAATGGGCACCCATCGGGGTTTGAACCCAAGACCTTCTGGTTACAAGGCGAGTTCGTAAACCATGAAGCCACTGGGACCCGATCCAGTTTTCGTGTATTCATCCATTACTGAATGAAATGAAATAAAGTTTGAGGAGATTATTAATGAAACAGCTATTCGAAAAACATAATTTAAGTAATTTCTTTCTATCTTTACATGAAGAAGGATAAAACTGTTGTCATGGTAATCGAAATAAGCTCTCTGTAAATTCAGTGCTAACTTTTATTTTTCTGTATCAAATTTTTATCGGTTAGATTCAGTGTCTTTGATACTCTTGTAATGATTAGAAATTAAGTTACAAATAGGATACAGAGGGATTAAAAGGTGATTATTCTGCCGTTTTTATAAACCATTTAAATTAGTTACTAAGTAACGAACTATCCAGAAAGCACTACTTCTAGTATCCTTGATCTCAGGCTGAAGTATTCAGAGTTTTTGTTGTTTGTCAAGCTTTAACTTTAATGAGAAAGGCATTCACTATCAGTAGATCAGTTTCTCAACCAGACACATTGCAGCAAAGATCGCCACATCAATGCGCGTGGAGCTGTTTATATAGATCGAACTCAAAAGAAAATTTCTTTACGCGCTCATGAACATATTACTGTTTGGCTTGGAAAAGGTGTAAACAAATCAATAGATAGTTCCATTTTGTCTCATATATTGGATAGTGAACATCACATCAAAATAGATGAGTCATTTACGACTGCATTTCGAGTACCAAACAATCTGCCTAAATGCGCACATGATTGCGTCTCTTAGTTACAGAGATTAGTATGAAAAAACCTGAACTATGTGTGCAAAAAAAGCACATTCATCGTCTTTTTTTTACCCTGGCCTACTATAAGGACAGCAGGGACATCGTCATCCATAGTTTATTTACACTAAGCTAATTTGCACTACGCTTACCATGTCTCTAGTATTTTATTGCAATTCAGAATATAACATCTTTATTTTATCACTAAACTTGACATCTGTCAGCACTTGAACTTACATTCAGTGTCCTCCATTTGTTGGTATGCATTTTTATGTATTTTGTGATAATCATTCACCTCGCACACCATTGAATATAACTCTATCCCCACCTCCAAACGTAACTTATATTCTGCACTATAATATATACATTAGTGTACATTATTTGTCTATTCACACTTTATCTTATTTTCTGAAAGACAATATTAAATAACGCACTATCACTCCACATAATACACTTACCACAATAGAGTTTTCGAAATGATTTTCACATGCCTTTAATGGCTATTTGTATTATAGTAATCATGGTATTATAACTGTACAGCCTGAGGAAGAAGTTTTCGAAAACAATTAGTCACTCAGACCTATCTGTCATGTTCTGATAACACTATGGGGATTTTCGATTTATTTTCAGTATCAGTTTAGATATCATTTTTGGTAGGTGCTTTGAGCAAGAGCTTCAAACCTTAGAGGGAATATTGGTTCACACAATGTTTCACATGAATATCAGAGAGGATGAAACCAAGATCAAAGAATTCTTCTAGGCTGGCTTTTAACTTTTTCTAATCTCTTCTTTTGACAAGTAAGTGAAGTGGATACATTACTAATCATACAGTATGAGTAATAATCATGGAGACCGTAAGAACAATATGAATACGCCTTGCAGAAGTATTCGAAATGAAAATATATTTCTGTAGACATAAATTTTCTACTGAAAAATGAGTTTAACTATAGCTGACAATAGTCTACAAACAAAATTTTTTTTGTTATTTAAGGCTTCAAAAGCTTTTAAACAGGGATTTCTTTTGTAATGATATTTAAAATCTAAAATCATGATTCTTTTCTTTACACACATTTACTCCATCATTCAGATATGAAGATAAAACAACAGGAGGAGAAGTAGTGTTTGGTGGCGTAGATGAAAATTATTATACAGGTGATATAACTTACTTAGATTTAGTAAATCCTGAATACTGGATGGTTCACTTTGATGGGTAAGTAAATGAATTAACTTGTAAATCATATAAATAGTATGTCATTTCATTCCCATATATATATGGGAATGTCTGCTTTCATTAGAAGCCATAAATAAGTATTGATTGTAAATAGTTCTAATTTTCTGTTGTCTTATCTGTTGCGCTGGTCTAATACTTCTTTGACACCGTAATAATAATAATAGCTGAAGCTTGATTAAAATGTTGTAAAAGCAGAATCGGGAGAGAATGTGTTGTCAAGTGATCTGAATCTATATCCCAGTGGTTGCTAGCGCCCTTACTGAAATCAAACTGACAAGTCAGTTTTATATGTTACAGTGTAATCTAATAGACAGTTGAGTTACCCATTGCGTAAGTAACTGTGACAAAAATTTATATTTTAAAATCCTTTAGATACATTTTTGCTGTGTCAAAAGTTTCATCAAGTGGGTAATAGTGTCTCACACTGTTCTATGAATTTCATTCACCCTGAACAGTCTTAAATGAGGTAAGAAATAATATTAGAAAAACTGTAAGACCTGTATTTCAAGCTACGTATATCATATTCATTTTACAGATGAACGTCGAACGCTCTTATCTCCTAAATCACAAGCTATATCAGGTCATATATCTAATTCAATGTTTAATCACTCTACAAACTGACTGTAATTCCGCAAAACGTGGAATAAATGATTTATTTCAGGATTTCATCATGAGCGGACACTAGTTAGAGAACCATTGGAAAACCTGGGAGTACGGGACAGATGTTTCGTCTAAGTTTAGGACTATTCAGCAGCACGCACCCACAGGGATTCGAACCCAGGACCTTCTAGTTACAAGGCGAGCTCGTATACCATTAACCAGAAGGTCCTGGGTTCGAATCCCTGTGGGTGCGTGCTGCTGAATAGTCCTAAACTAAGACGAAACAGCTGTCCCGTACTCCCAGGTTTTCCAATGGTTCTCTAACTAGTGTCCGCTCATGATGAAGTCCTGAAACCAATCAAATCCCTACAAACCAACACTTGAATAAATGATTTAAGTTGAATATCCAAGGGATAATTCTATAGTCAAGGAAAATTAGTGTCTCTTTTTGATGATTTACAATTGTATCACTTAGAATACACTGAATATCTGAAAAGTGAAAAAGAGAAAGCTGATGCTTTCATTTCCCTTTCAAATATTGTTTACCGGTCAGATGTTACGACTTTTAAACGACATGTGAAACAAATGAGACAAACAGTCAACTGTATCTACTAATAAAATACGTAAAGTGAGGTGTATGTACCTAGTTCATAAATTTTACAATCTTAAAATGACCATTTACTAACCTCTTTGTATATTTAAAAGGTATCTTATGTAAAGAAAATGTTAGAATTTACTCAGTAAAACTGCATTTAAGCTCCTGCAATTTCAACTCAGTAAATATATATATATATATATATACTGAACAGTTGTTTTATCCCAGTTTGAGAGTATTTGGAAATAAATACTTCTGATACCTGATCGAAATTACATTTACTTTGTAAATAAAAAAGAGTTAAAATGTGAAAAACCACTGTCATTAACTAAGACTATAATACTAAACATCCATAGGAAGTGAAGTCATTTGTAGTAAACTTAAGTGTAGACTGATTTAAGTGAAAATTTATTACATTTCTATTTATTTCTGATTACAGCTTGATTCCACACTGTATTTTTGGTACAAGTATGGAATTTTCAGCGTGGATATCGGTAGCCTAAAATTCACAGGCCGACCATAGATATCAGGTGTGCGTCGGCGTGGGCTCGAACCCCGGACCATGTGCATGTTCGACGAGAGTCCTAACCACTGTGCCACAGACGCACAGTCTGTTGTACTCAATACTGGAATGACTATCACTTCTGTCCCTCCTGAAGCCTGCAATTTTTAAACTGAAGGATATATGATTATTTAAATCACATCAACCATATTACCATTAATGGTGGATACCAATCCGCAAAGCTTACCTTCGCCAGTAAAGACTATTGATTTAGAAATATCGTGTTGCACTATTCTCATCTGATAGTGGTCCAGATAAAATTCGACAGCTCTACAAAAACTGTGGAGTCGACTTTTCATCATTATAAAACCCAAGAGAAAATGTCAGTTGGGAAACAAATTATCAATTTTTTTATAGAATTATTTTTTTTGTTATTTTATTCCTTTGCGCCCTGAGTGGGACATATGGATCCAAACTAGAGTTTTATAGTTTCAGTAGTAGTAGCGTTGATGCTTATCTCTTTGCGGGGTGGAGTTGCTAGCCTCCCAACCAACCTTCCGTTACTTACTATCGGTTAAACAAGGTTTAGGAATGCGTTGGTTGGAAATCGAACCCTAGACCACGTGGGTGGTTGGCTAGTATCCTACCGACGAAACACCGACTTAGAAAGAGGTAAGCAATTTAATTTGTTGCAGTAATCAAGATATTTTACAAAAACAAATATTTGACATTCCTCACTATCAGATATAGTAGAGATGCAGACTAATCCTGAAAGGATATTTTCACATCACCACATCTTCATACCACTTCCACTGTAAAGGATTATACATCGGTTCATTGTCAGTCAAATAAAGATTCTTCCTCACTTTCAAACTCCGTTAGTTAGAAAGTGGTACAGAATTACGGTTAAACATTGGAATGTTCTGAATATATGTAGAGTCTTTTCTGTATTGTTCTTGTCACTAAATCATATCAGCGACTGATGCCACTGCCTAATCTTAATTCAATTAGTTCAACTATAGGGTAAAATCTAGAGTCAACTATTCTTTGGAGAAGTATACTTACCTCTTGTATAAATACATGATGAAGATGAACTGATGGTCATAGTGGCGGTTTCTACCGTCTTTTAGCAAAACGCCTCACATGCACACTAGAACCAGGAAATCGCAGCCTAATGTTCATAGTAAGTACCTACTAAAGCGTCTAACCACATAGCATCATATGAAACTTCCAAACTGCCGAAGAACATCTTTGGCATGATAAAACATGAGAAACATTGTTGAATGATATTGGACAGTGTCATTAACTGTATGACTTTTGTGTATAATTTGAAAAAGAAGGTAATTACAAGCAACATTGCGAAGTAATATTTGAGAAATCATGCTTTGAAACTTTATCGTTATAGCAACAGTATTTTTTTTGTTAAATGGCACGCCTTCAATAAACTTTAGTTTATTTTGAGCATCACATTAAGTTATTATGTATTGTAATCATTCGAATAATCTAAACAAAAATACCCGAAGAACTCCTTTTACCACTTCGCGTAGTATCAAATTAAGTGTAATGTTAAAATTGAGATGTTCATAGTTTTATTGAGGATAGATTCCTGCACTCAATATTTTTGATTTCAGTTAATAATAACCCTCAAACATTTGAAATGTAAATTATTACTGTCATGTAACATAGGGCAAGTTAAACTTTAAGCACCACTAACTACAAATCAGCAAATGGCCTCGAAAGCACCAATCACGTGAAGGAGTCATTTTTGTGTATGGAATACATATATTTATGCAAAATTGCATTAAAACTGTATAAAAGTGCTACAGAAAATAGCTTCCTCTCATATAGGATAAAAATAGTTCTCAGGTTTAGGTTGGTGTATCAGCAGAGTATAATTCCATTGTGGGTAAAGTTTATTTTAATGAAGTCTCACAATGTCATGCAGTAATATTCACTGGGCAATAAACTGTTCTCGAAACATCATCAGTAAATATTACTGTATAGCACTGTGAGACTTTATCAGAATAATTTTTACCCACAATGGAATTAAACTATACTACAGTGCACAAGTTCTTTTCTTATGCCAACAGACTAATTTAACCATAACTCCATTATGGATAAGATTTTATTTTGATAAATCACACAGTGTTGTACAGTCATATTAACTGATGACGTTTCGAGCACAAACTATTCCTCATAGTCATATCAATAGTTTGTGCTCGAAACGTCATCAGTCAGTATGACTGTACGATACTGTGTGATTTATCAAAATAAAATTTCATCCATAATGGAGTTATGCTCTACCACAGTGCCCAAGTTTTATACTTATATGAATAATTTAACCATATTCTATGAATGTAATTATTTAGGTCTTCTAACCCTAACAACAACCCTAATATTTCCTGACGTGAAAATATTCCTAAACTAACTGTAATCTAACTCGAACCAAACCTACTGTCGCCTTTGTTACATTAACCTAACCCGAACTTGTCAGTGGCTTAAAGAGTAACTTAATCTGTCGCGTCGGTGGCACAGTGGTTAGGACTCTCGCCAATCATGCACATGGTCCGAGGTTCGATCCCCTGCCGATGCACACCTGATATCTATGGTCGGCCTGCAAAATTCGGGCTACCGATATCCATGCTGAAAATTCCATACTTGTACCAAAAATACAGTGTGGAATCAAGCTGTAATCAGAAATAAAAAATAAAATAAATAAAAATGGACCTAAGCTGAAACTTTCCAGATATCCCTATTTAATAACATAATACTTCAATGAGCATATTTTGTTGATGATGACAATATTATTTGCCGGATTCCACTAACTTTCTTAGTGAGTTTTTCAAGGTCATTGGTGTGGTCGCACTCCATCAGTAGTTAGTGGTGCTTAAAGTATAACTTGGCCTAACATAGATGTTAACTGTGGATAGATGAGATCTGCATACGTAAAACTTCTATCACTACCTTTCAGAACTTGATTACAAGAGTTATCTTTAAATTACTGAATAACGAATCAAAATTAATTCTCAATAATATCTCTGGTGCACTGCCAGTGTTAATAAATGTTTCAGAATTAGTCAACATTTCAATATATATCTTGTTCTCAGTCTTAAATTATATATAAATATATATATATATATATATATATATATATATATATATATATGTATTGAGAAATTCATGGAATTCTTTTGCACCGTGTTTCTTTTGTTTAACAATGCTTAAGTTTATCAGTGGATTGTAAAGAATTCTGCCCTGGTGGGAGTACAGCACTAATTGATACAGGTACAACTTTGATATCTGGTCCAAGCAAAAGGATCAAAGAAATTAATAAATATCTTGGAAGTAAACATACTGCCAATAATGAAAACCTCCTGGATTGTGATAAAATACCAGAATTACCATCAGTTGAAATAGCTTTAGGTGATAAAACTATTGTTCTACAACCAGATGATTATGTTCTTGAGGTAAGTGATTACCTTTTGCACTGCTTACACAAATTTATTTTATACTTGTCACCATATGTTTAAAGATATTTCGTTTCAAAATCTATTACATCCCAGTAAGCTTTGAATCTTGATTGTAGGTCATTTAATAAAGTTCCCATCTAACATTAATCCAAATCAGCTTTATTTACTTATCATTTAATATAAGTTTCTTTTGAGAGTACTTGAACCTGGCAATATGGCTGGTTGTTTTAATAACCAATGAAACTGCAGTACTCCCTCCTCAAAGAGAACTTTAGAAACAATATTTCATCTCAATGTTTAACTCTAATTGGAAAACTGGTATCTTATAAAGGTTGGTTCCAGTCATCATGAAGTTATATGGAAGTGAAACATTTCCAGTCCTCTTTAAATTCTTCACTAGTATGTCACCAGCCCTTAAACATCAAAGTATAGTTGATGGCCTGGTGCTTGATTACGAAATTCTGCAAAGCACTTTATTATTTCACATGTTATGAATACCTTCAGAAGTGTTTCATTTTACAATTTACATCACCTGTAAGTGCATACTTTTTGTTCTTTCAAAGTGCAGTTAGCTTTTAATACTCCTTGATCTATTGAAAAATATATTCTAATTAGTATGAATGTTTTAATTTGATAAATACAATCAGTTGTATAAATCTTGACACTTTCAAATTTATGTGAATGAATTATAATTGTCTATGTTTTCAAAACACTAGATGCAATATGTAAACCTTTACTTTCATTGAGCAAAAACATGTAGTCTTCAAGTTTACTTATTTGCCAAGGATATCACATGGTATGATTTCCTTTTGACTGGAATGTAATCGTTTGTAGGTCGCTTAATCACTTCTAGTCAGCACTTTGTGTAACCATCCACGTTGTAGAAGCTGACGGTATTGACGTTCACAATTTGTACGGAATATACTAACCCAAGATCTTATACCAACAACTTCTATAGTATGTGTTTCTCGTGGACCAAAGGCAAAGCAGAACAATTGAATCGGTTGTCCAAATGACGAGATATATTTCGAAACCAAAACAGATTGTTAGACGAACGCTTAGCTGACTAGTGATTGTGCACGAATGTGACACGGCTGAGTACCAAATGGCATGGATGCCTGACCGGAAGACTTCAGCTAAACAAGTCGACTTAAACACTAAGAGTCAGCATCCAATGTTGAGTGATGATTGCTGTGGTCAATAATTTTGTGGAATTATTTACCGCTACAGCGTCTTTCAACAACAACAATCCAAATCTACGGACTTTGTTTGCCTTTCAAGCTTTAGAAAACCAACTGGTTAATTCGATTCTATAGATTCGATGTTCTTGTGTCACTATAATAGTAATAATAATGCTAATTTAAGTAATAAAGTTTGAAACATTTCTAAGTTAACTGATAAATTATGATTATCATCTGACATTTTTTACTGTTGGTATTAAAGGCTATACTCTCGTCACTACGTTTATTCGCACTTATATATATATATATATATATATATATATATATATATATATATGAATAGAAATGGCACACTTAAATCTTTTACCTGAAGTTTCTTTTTTATGAAATGAAAACAAGATAAAAGTAGGCTGAAGTGACAACTTAAATTGTAACAGATAATAATAGAATATTTGAATTATGAATACAGTAAGAGAGAGAGAGATAAAACATTGACAAAGCCGAACTGAAAAGATACAGTTTTCGTGTGTAAATTGAAATATCTATAGAATGTGAGGAATAATTTCCTTGTAGTGACAGGGATTAAAGATTTACACCTACTAAAACTTTATAAGTAGGAGAAACTAATTACCTAATGGTTTAACGAATGTGAATGCATTTGAGAACTGGTTGTAAAGTGATTTCAGACAACTATATAAAAGTGGTTCACCTATGGTAGTGATGAACTGGAATAGTGGTGTAACAACAGAAGACAAGGGCAAGGCAACGCATCGTTTTATTAAGGAAATCAGCACGCATTTATATATATTTCATGTACATTATTATAGCTTATTCAAGCAGACAAACACAGTCTTCTGATTGGTTGTTTCTCGCTCAAGGTTATTCTGCACTGCTTGTGACTGGTTTCTCAGAAAGTTAAGCCATATATCTGCGAATCGTATTTGCCCACGTTAAGTCTGCTGTGATTGGTTGTTGAATCAGTCTTGTTCATATTTTCTCACGGTCAATATTAGCGACATAGACATTGACGTAAGTTAATGTCTACCAATTAGCTAGCAGCCTGCTCTCACCACAATGGGACCGACCTTATTTTCTCAAATAGTTTGAACTCTGACTGGAAAATGTTTCACTAAATCATCATTAATTCATAATTTTGTGCTTTATTTAGATATATTATACAAGAATTAGTTTAATTAAAGATATGACTAATTGTTTCAACGCTGTCACGTTTTGAAAAAAAATTTCAGAAAATTGTCAATGGTTCACATATATGCAAAAGTACTTTTATTGGTATTGACTTTTCAACTGGTCCATTATGGGTATTTGGTGATGTGTTTCTGAGGAAAGTTTATACTGTTTTTGATGTTGGTAATAAACGCATAGGATTTGGTGATGTCGCTGGGATGAAATAAACTTTTGCAAATAAAAGTATTATTTGAATAATAACAATGATAATAATAATTCCAAATTTGTTATTTTCATTATTAATTATATCCGAAATGGTTCTTCTTACTTAAATATGGACAGAGAATAAAAGGGGAACCATTGTAGAGTTGCTGCCAACTAAAGTTATATATTTTTCCATGAAATTAAAAGGGTGAATAGGTAGGGAACGCTCAACATGGATTTCATACTAAAAGCAAAGGTAAGCAATATAGTGGGAACCAACATTGTGTCAGTTATCACAGTGATCACAGTGCATCTGTTACCAATAGATTTTCCTCAACACCGTTAGAACTGGACTAATGCATAGGTCAATATCTGATGGCTAGATTGCACATGTGACAATTCGCTATAGAATTCATATTTGTGACATCATAAGCGAACTTAGAATTTAGGCACACTGATATTCGACTAGCTTGCAGAGATTCTAGCAAGGCCCAACTTCTGCTAATATGCAGTTGTCTCTTGTCTCCCTTCTCCTACGTTATTAAAACGAAAGTCAACCATTGAATTCCATGAAATCTCCAATTGAAAAGAACAAGAAGTTCAGCAAAGATACCTTGTCGGCGATTTCATTCTCAAAAGCTGTACAATCTCATTTATATAGATTAGTTTACATGGATACAATTCTTATTCGTTTAATTCCACATAATAACGAAGGTGATAGTAATTTTCAACTTGATTTGAAAGTTTGAGGGTACGAATATAGATTACAAGAGGCTTAGAGACAAGATTGCATAGGATTAGAAAACAGTTACAACGTATGCAAAATTAATATTTGATAACTGGAGAAATAATTTTAAGGGCGAATAAAAGGTGATAATTGTTTTCAACTTGATATGAATTACAATAGGCTTAGAGACGCACGGATAGAACGAATTACAGGTGTGAACAAAGTGAGCATGGAAACAAATCGAAATCGGAATTTTCAGCTTGAAATGTAAGTTAGGAGGTTTGAATGTAGATTACTAGAGGCATAGAAACAAAAAATTACACAGGATTAGAATATAATTGTGAAAATGGTTATTCTAAACGGATTACAAGCATGATCAGGAGGAGCATGGAAACGAACTTAAAATAACTGATTTTATAACTGAAAAAATCGGATGAATTGAATGAAGGCAAAGAGAGAAAGTTACATGCACACACAGATAACAAAACAAAAAACAAACAAAAAACTCAAGGATAAGGGGACATACCGAACTAGGTCCATGGTAGTTGTAAAGGCTGGACTAGTTTCGATTGAACACATAGCTCCGGGTTTTCGATGCATATGGCGAGAGCTTCTGCAGTACAAAGTCGAAAACACACGGCCTTTGGTAGATTTTTGTTTACTTCATAAATGACTCTAAATGATGAGTCGGTTGAGATTCTGTGACAGATATTGACAAGATGTTCAGTTATTGCGCTTCTGAGTAAACCAGTGCCTCCTCTTTGCAGCCATGCTGGATGATGTTCTCTAACACGTTTTGATAAGACCCTCATAGAACGACCTATGTACCTAGCTCCTCAAGAGCAGGTGAACTGATATATGCACAGTGAAGTGGTCATATGTGGAATTCTTTTCTTCCCGTTGCTCTGAAGTAGTGGGTGGCTAGAGAATATCACTCTTAGAGTTGCTGCCGGAAATGCGATTTTACAGCTTTTGAGAATTAAATCGTTAGAGTTGAAACAGCTTTCCAAATGGAACCAATTCAAATCTCTGTGTCTAGTTCTGTAGTGAATTTTGATGATTACGCGTTGTTTAACTAGCTATGACTGGATACTTGCAGAGAAGTTGAAAATTTGTATTCGATAAAATTATTCGTACCATGTATTTACAATTATTAGAAACAAATAACAACGTTCATTTACATGATAAAGTAATAAAAATGGTCAATCATTGCACTCATTCAATAGCTTCCTTGTTGTATCAAAGTGCTGCATATAAATTTTCTTTAAGTTGTTCAGTAATGATAAATTTTAAGTGCTTATTTCTGGAACAATATTTTCAATCGTAATTTAAGCATACAATCAAAATATAATCGGTCGTAACATCGGAGTGCTACTAAACGGATCAGAGACTTGCACTGCGTGTCATAAAGAGCATCTCAAACAAACTTCAGACCTTCATTAACAGTTGTCTTCGCTGTTGTCAAAATCAGATGGCCAGAAAAGATCAGCAACAAAGATCTCTGGCAATGACCGAACCAACAGAGCAGGAACCGATTGTGAAACAAATGGGCAGGAAGAAATGGAGATGGATTGGCCATACGCTGAGGAAACCATCAAGCGACATCACCAGACAAGCCATTGCTCGAGTGGAACCCGAAAGGGAAGCGGGTGGCGAGTTGGTCGTCAGTACAAGGGTGAGGGTAACTTGGAGGAGGTCATGTGAACAGGAGATGAAAGCATGTGGGCAGACTCGGAGCGGGGTGAAAAAGTTGGCAGAAAACAGAAGGCAATGGAGACGCGCGGCTGAAGCCCTATGTTCCTCTAGGAATTAACGGATATAATAATAATAACATTGGAGTTTATTTATAACTAGAAAAATTCAAATTACTCATAGATAATTTTTCTTCAGAACCAAAAACAATCAGAGAGACTAAGTGTTTTCAGTGAAGTCTTCTTCAGACTCTACAATTACACTGGGCGTACAATTAGGCAGGTTTATCATAGTATTTCCGAACATCATCCGGCATGGTTTATTATTATTATTATTATTGTATCCTTTAGTTCCTAGAGGAACATAGGGCTTCAGCTGCGCACCTCCATTGACTTCGGTTTTCTGACAACTTTTTCACCCTGCTCCAGGTCTGTCCACATGCTTTCATCTCCTCCTCGCATGACCTCCTCCAAGTCACCCTTGGACGACCAACTCGCCGCCTCCCTTTCGGGTTCCACTCGAGGGCTTGTCTAGTGATGTCACTTGATGGTTTCCTCAGCGTATGGCCAATCCATCTCCATTTCTTTCTGCCTATTTGTTTCACAATCGGTTCCTGATTGGTTCGCTCCCAGAGATCCCTGTTGCTGATCTTTTCTGGCCATCTGATCTTGAGTATTGAGCGGAGACAGTTGTTAATGAAGGTTTGAAGTTTGTTTGAGATGCTCTTTATGACTCGCCAAGTCTCTGATCCGTATAGTAGCACTGACTTCACATTGGAGTTGAAAATCCGGATCTTATTTTTGATGCTGAGTGCTGTTGACCTCCACACAGATTTGAGAGTAATGAAAGCTTGTCTTGCTTTTCCGATTCTGGCTTTGATGTCCTCGTCAGTTCCGCCTGTAGTTGAGACGATGCTTCCCAGGTAGGTGAAGGAGGTTGTTTCTTTCAGGTTCTTCCCATTTATGCTTATTGTTGTCTGTTGTTGTTGTTGCTGTTGATGTTGGCTAGGAATCTTCATTATCTCTGTTTTATCTATGTTCACGTGAAGTCCTATCTTTGATGCTTCTTCTGCCAACTTGTTACTTTTCACTTGCATATCTTCCAGTTTATGGGAAATCAGACATATATCATCGGCGAAATCCAGATCCTCCAAGTCTTTTGTGTCAGTCCATTTTATGCCTGTTCCCTCGTTGGTTGCCGTTGTCTGTCGCATTATCCAATCAATTGCAATCAGGAAGATCATTGGTGATAGTAGACAGCCTTGCCTCACTCCCGTCCTCACTTCGAAGGCTTCCGTAAGTTTCCCGTTGTGGATTACTTGGCATGCAGCATTGTCGTATAACTGTTGGATGAGGTGTATAATTGTCGATGGGACCCCGTAGTAGCGAAGTAGTTTCCAAATGACCTCTCGATCGACGCTGTCGAAGGCCTTTTCAAAGTCGATGAAGTTGAGATAGAGAGGTGACTGCCATTCCAAGCTTTGTTCAATGATGATCCGTAGAGTGGCGATTTGATCAATACATGATTTGTTTCTCCTGAATCCAGCCTGTTCCGGACGAAGTTTTTCATCTAGGGCTTGTTTGATTCTCTCCAGGATGATGCGACTTAGTATCTTGCTTGGAATGGACAGAAGCATAATTCCACGCCAGTTTTTACATTGACTTAAGTCTCCTTTCTTTGGAAGTTTGAATAAGTATCCGTTCTTCCAATCCTCGGGTACTTTGCCCTCTTTCCACACCTTCTCCAGCAGTGGTGTCATCAAGTCCGCTGTTGTCTCTGGGTCTATTTTCAAAGCCTCTGCTGGGATTCCATCTGGTCCCGGTGTTTTCCCAGCTTTAAGCATCTTGATTGCATTCAGGACTTCTGATTTCGTCGGGGGTTCAGTGTTCACTGGTAGTTCTGCTTCCGTTGTTGGTATTGCTGGACGTGTTGTAGGTGGCGGACGATTTAGAAGTCTTTTGAAGTGTTCAACCCAGTGCTTTCTCTGTTCCACCTCTTTGGTGATTGACTTTCCATTGTCGTCCTTTATTGGCTTAATCTGTGTCGAACGTTTGCCCGAAAGGTGCCTAGTTGTTTGGTAGAGTGTGGCGAGGTCTCCTTTGCCTGCAGCTTGTTCTGCTTCGTTTGCCATGGTTTCATAATATTTTCTTTTGTCTTCCCTGGCACTCTTCTTCACTCTTTTGTTCAGTGTATTGTAGCTTGCATTCAGCTCCTGTTTTTGTTGCTCGTCAGTGCACTGGATAATCTTTTGCTTCACTGTCCTTCTCTCTTCTATTAGTTTCCAAGTGTCCGTAGTGAGCCACTGTTTGTCCTGTCTCTTTTTTCTGCCTAGAATTTCTATGCAGGTTTGGCTCCACACCGTTTTCAAGTTGTTCCAGTGCTTTTCGACGCTGACCTTTTCGCTGGTGTTGATTTGTATCTCAGCTTTGTCCTTTATGCTTGCAATGAAGATGTCCTTTGTAGCCTGGTCCTTCAGCTTTTGAGTGTTGAACTTGGCTTGTGGTCTATCTGCAGCTCCTGATTCCCTGAAAGCTTTTAATTTGATTTGGATTATCCCCTGTACGGCATGGTTTAGCAAAGGAAAAACAAGATCTATTCGTAGTTCTATTTAGCCTACCTTGTTGATACTGAGCATAAGGTTGATGTGAATACTGCATTTAAAATTATCTATCGTATTCCGACTTATCTTAATTTTGCTCTACGAGTTCGTCTTCTACAGACAGCTGAAACAATAGGAATCCACCTAAAGAAGCCAAGCTTATGTGTCCAGAAGAAATTTGTACAGCCACTTTCCTTACCGTGGCT